TCTGCTAGGTGGCTTATGGAATTCTTCTTCCCTTGGTTGTAGCTCTTTTAGAAGAGAAAAAGGAGAGAGAGAGAGAGATAAAGAGAGGAGGAGAGAGAGAGAGAAAAGTTAGAGTTTTTTTGTAAATGTCAAGGCGCTCGATGGTGTAATCTTCTCGAAGTAATAAAATTCTCTGCAATTTCGTTGACGTAAGAAATTTGCCGAATCACGTAAATCTTGTGTCGCCTTTTCTGGTGTAATTTTTTTCGTCCCAATTTCTTTTCATTTTTCATCATCGTTTTTCACAATAGGTGTTCCCCATGTTTGTCACCTTCTCATGCCTGCTTGTCATTTATATTCAGATTTTTGTCAATTATCTCAGGCAGGAGTGCGACGGAAGGAGGAGAAAGATGGGAGTTTGGAGGTCTTGTACATCATGATCCTTTCGTTACCTTTATCGATTGTTGCAAGTAGGAGTGGGGCGGAATGAGGAGAAAGATGGGAGTTCAAGATGTTTGTATGCCACAATCTCGCCGTTGCATTTGTCAATTGCTTCGAGTGGGAGCAAGGTGGAAGGAGGAGAAAGTTGGGAGTTTGGATGTCTCTGTACGTTATGATCCCATCACTACCTTCTCCAATTGTTTTGAGTAGGAGCAGCACAGAAGGAGAAGAAACAAGGAAGCTCAGCGGTCTTTGTGTGTCAGGCTTTTGTCAAATTTTTCAAGTAGGAGCATGGTGGAAGGAGGAGAAAGATGGAGTTTAGAAGTCTTTGTACATCCCATAGTCAATAGTGGTTGTTGAAGCGATGAGATGTGACGGTCGCTAGTGTTGTCGAATTTGGCTAACTTTAGCAACAGAGTCACTTTAAATGTAAATTCGAGAGTTTAAGTGTGAGATATGTAATATTAAAGGTTTCAATTAGAGACAAAATAGAGTGTTTGTGTGAGTGTTTAAAGTGTGTATGAATTGTGATGTCTTTATTATAAGTGTGGGAAAAATGAATCCAAGTGGAGTAACATTGTAAAATGAATAATCGCGGTAGAGCAAAATAAGATTTTTTACGAGTTTGAATATCCTTTATTTGTGTACACTTTCATTTGGAATTTTAATGAAATTTGTTTGGTTTTACTTCAACATGTTTAGAAACTAAGAGATTTATGTTTCTTTGATTTGGTAATGTGATAATTCGTATTTAGCCGGTGAAACTTTTTTAAGGCTATTTGGTATTTAATTGTATGTTACCGTGTTAACTTTTCAAATGGACAACTTGAAAAACTCTTGTGCTCTAGGACTATAGGCCATAGACTAAAATAACAAGTTGACACTTAATTATTTAGTGAAATATGAATGTTGTCATTAGGGGATCATAATCACACAGGAGAATGAGGATTCATGTGAGACTTTGTAGAATTAAACTAAACTTAACTATAATATGAGACTCAAACTCTTTATATGTAAATAAATTGAGTAATAAATAAGTTGTCTTTATTATTAATATTAAGTTAGGAAGATTCATCGAGAGAATGTTGACTATTTACATGATCAAATTCAAATAGGCATGATTTTCATATAAGAGATCATGACCTGATCATATTTAATTTTATAAAGTTAGGATTTAGACACATTTAAAACTTTTGTTATTTTGAACTTGAATTATGATTAGTAAAATAGAATTTTGACTAATTTGATAATTAGTAATGTTTCTCGTGCAATCAATACTTAATTCATGATCATATGTATGGTATCCCGTGTTTCATAGCATTTTGGAGGGATCAATGACTTTAGAGGAAGTTTCAATACGTAAAAGAATATCATTTGCATACAACAAATGAGAAAGCTGGGGCCCGTTTTTAATGATATTGACACTAATGTCTGGAGTGCAATTCAGAATCATAGGAAGAAGTAATCACTTGATCAAATATTTTACATCATTGATGTGATGCATGTTTTAAATCATAAACATTTTTTTGTTGCATCATATATATTATTTCTTCAATGTCACCATTAAGAAATGTAGTTTTTACATTCATTTGATATAACTCTAAACCAAAATTTGCTACCAGTATCATATTGATTCTAAAAGATGATTTCAGAGAATTTTGAGAGAAGATCTCTTTATATTCATTACCTTCATTTTGTGTGAAACTCTTAACGATAAGATGCATTTTATATTTTTTCAATATTGCCTTTTAAATCCCATTTTAATTTTAAAATTTGCGTACAAACAATTGATTTTATATATTTAGACAAATTGATGATATATTAAACATCATTAGATTTCATTGATTTTATCTTATCTTTAAGGGCTTCTATCGAGTATTTTATTTAACTTGTTTAAAAGAGATTAGATCACTTTTTCATACAATCTCAAGCACATGCTCGTGAAGATATGCGACAAATTCTTTTGAAATTGCTATTCTTCTCTTCCTAGTGGATCTTCTTAGACTGGGGTGTAAATAAACTAAGAACCAATCACGTAGGCTGGAGACAATGTCTCTATTTATACTTAGGTGCATATCTTTTATTTTAGCCCATCATTATAATAAAATTAATACATTGTCTCTATACAATATTAATTCCATACAAATATTAAGATGTCACACGTGTCAGATAAATAATCTTTATTCAATCATAATTTTAATAGGCTTAAGAAAATTGATATAATAAGTAAAGTATAATTATTATATATGGGCTCACATAAAATTTTCTGACCGAAGATCGACATGAGAATCGAAGTTATATTTGAAAGGTGAAGTACTCGTAGATTTTATTTTTCGTATTTGCTTTCAAAAAATTTTTTTTGTTTGATATTACTCCACAAACCTTCTTATGATTGAGCATCATGAGAGACGACATGGATGAGTTTTTTTTTAATTTTTTTTAATTTTTGATAGAGTGGGCGCTTGAACTCTACAGCTTAAAATTATTCACTTTGTGCCTTAACTTACTTGCCACGTTTTCAAGCCCCAATAGCAACAAAGTTAAGAGATAGATATAAAGAGAACGAGAAGATATATGGAGATTATTGGGTGATATTTTTGGGGTGTTAAGATTTTTTTGGCATTAAGAGGAATAAATAATAACTTTAGATATTAAATACATTAAAAAGGGATGTTTTGACATGTATCTATATAAATCCCCCTTATTCTTATTATGTTTCCAAGTTTTTCCTTGGTTATTCTCTCTTAAAAGAAATAAAAAAGAATAGCTATTACACCTTTTATTAATTATGAACATTCAAAAAATGAATGTGATTGATTTAAAATCGATTGTTCAAAATTTGATTTTTGCTGATACATAAGTAAATATTATCATTTCAATGTCAAATATGATCAAAAGTTTACAACGTTCTACCATTTTCTCATGTTGGTCAATGATATTAACACAAGCCATGTGAGACAAACACACATATACATGTCTAATTTTGGGCATTACACGAACTTCCTTAAATTGATTAGCCCATATCATTAATTTTATAACAGGTGATTTTCATAATATTGTAATATTAATCTTCATTGCCAATATCTTTTAAAAGTTCATGGATTTGAGCATGATTTTTCTTCATCCAATATACACAATCCTTTAAAATTAAATCTTAGAGCATATTTTTTACCTTATTATAATATCACTGATTCAGAGTTTGATTCCCATATTGATGTGTGTTAGATCTCAAAGTTCCTTATTAATGATATTTTTCTTGACAATCATTAACTACTGTTACCATAATATTGAGATATTATTTCTTAGAGATGACAATTGTTATGCGCTATAAATTTATGTCATTAAAAAATAATATTACGTGATAGTTATCTAGAAGAATTCATGCATATGTAAATAAAATGAACAAAATATTCAGGAGGCCAAAGATTTTAGGAGAAAAATATAAAAAAAAAAGAAAGTATGTGGCATAACTCAAATTAAATTGTCTAACGAATAATAAAAATTATAATGGTCAGTCTTTCTACTCAATTGGACAAAATAAGATTTAAAAGTATAAATAATAACTCAATATTCTATGTTAACAGTGAAAACAATAGAAATATGAAAATAAGATGGTTGTTGATGGTTTTTCAACATGTCAATTGAGTGTTGATGATAAGATGATGATAGTAAAACTAGAATAAATTGATGATAAAAAATAAGACATATCGATTAAATAATGGTAAGAAATGAAAAAGTTGATGGTATAAATCAGACGGCAATGATTTTAGGATGATGATCACATGACAGATCATTAGAGTTATTCAGAAAACACTAAAAAAATTAATCCCTACTATCCTCATCAGAAGAATAAGGGTTTACTTGTTCATTTGGGCATAATTTATTAAAGTTAGCCAATAATTCATGCAAGTGCTTTAATAATTTTAGAATTTATGATACAAACTCAAAATTGAACTGCATGGATTGAGTTCAGATTGAAATCCGCTCGCAGCTCTTCATGTTCGATTTCGAGCCTGTTCAGATTGAAACTACATCCAGCTTGATCCAACTTTCAATGAAAATGAGATAGCTCAAATTTGACTTATCTGAATCCTTTCAGCTCGAAATCTACTCGATCTAGCTTGAAATCAAAACAAGATGACAAATTGAGTTATTTGGATCGGATCCAATTCAAAATCGACTCATCACTTGTTATATTTACTTTTATTTAGTAGTATATATATTTTTTTATAAATAAAAAATAATTCATGCCAATCCGTATATGCTCCGAAACCAACTCAAATTTAATATATATTTGGTATCCCTAAGTTTCACCTTATCGACGACGTAATATTTTTTCGGGAATTGTTTCGTCGTAATATAAATCCCCAGCGATTCTATCATCGGCATTTTAAAATGTAAAACAAGCGGTGCGTCCACGCTTATCCATCTTCAAGTTCCCGATGACGGCCTATCAGATGGAACTAGTTTTCGGCGTGTGGTTGAGCTCTCCACACGCTCACTCAAAAGCTCACACGTATCTCTAATCCAGTGGGCCCCACGTCAGTGCCGATCGGAGCAGCTTTCCTTCCTTCTTCTCCGTCTATAAATACGAACTATCGGCCGGAGAACTACCCGCGAGCGGCAGCGCCGAGGTTTTCGTCTTCTTTATCTGCTTCCCAGTCTGACGCCATGGATCCGTACAAGGTAGTGCTGCTTTAGCTGTAAGGGTTTTTTTTTTCCTTATCGAATATTGTTTGATCATGATCTCAATTTTGACACCATGTAATGGTGTTCTTTTACGTGTTGATGCGATCGGAGGTTTCTTCTGCGTTTTGTTTGTTTGGTTAATTGATTGATTTCGTCTTCATCGTGGTGTGAGTTGGATTTTGATTTTTGGATAGTGTTTTTAGCGGTGTTTTGATTGTGCTGCAGCATCGGCCTTCGAGCGCGTACAACTCGCGGTTCTGGACGACGAACTCCGGTGCGCCTGTTTGGAATAACAACTCATCGTTCACCGTGGGGTCTAGAGGTAATTTATTATGTATTTGTGATTTGAAATTTATAATTGATTGAGTGAACTAGTTTATTGAAATTCCTTTTGTCGCTTTCTGAGTTTAGAATTGGTTTTTGTTGCCTGTTTGAGATCTCTGTATCGTGGGGCCGGTTAATGTTGGTGTTTGAGGGTTTATGATCGTTATTGGTGCCCTTTTGTGAAGACTTTGTTGTGGGGCCGAAGGTCTTTGATTTTCCATTGCCAGATCGGAATAGCGGATACATTGTTTTCATCCATTTTAATTGTGAAAGTAACTATATTTTTTAGTTCATGCAAAAAAAGATGAAATTGTTCTAATTTTGGGAATAAGGTTGATTCATTTTTTTTGGTCGTTGCGAATTGTACAGCAACCCTAAATTGATGTGTAAAGAATTCATGCACATTTTTTTTTGTAGAAGAATTGAAGTCTTATCGCATTATTCTTTCATGTTTTGGCTTATATGTGATGAATTCCTTATATCTTTATTTTGTGGTCGTGAACTGGAGGACTGCCAGGTCGCCGTACATGTCATCGGCCGGGGATGTGGCGGCCGATTGTGTGCCGATGTCCAGATGAAATATTTTTTCCGTGAACTGATGTGTTTTACGAGTGGAGAAAAAAAACCTGATTATTTAAAGTTACTTGCTTATCCACTGTTTGTCTTTTTTTATTATCTTACTGAACTATTGCTATGAGTTAAACTACAGAATGTAATTGATCTCTTATCAGTCAAATCTATCGGCATTTTTATTTGTCGGACTCCGGTTGGTTATTTATTTTTTAATTTCCTGGCTGGGACTCCTGAGACTATTATTTTTTCTTAATCGAAGGGTTAATCTTCCTTGAACATGTCTGCAAGCCCTATTTGCAGCTTTGGTTTTTTTTTCCCTTGCTCCTACAAGCGTAAGTGAAGAATATTATGGAAATGGAGAGAGGGCGATATTATTCAGAATACATGTCACTTATATGCTCTTACTTGGTGAGATCTTCCTTTTGCGTCAGATAATGCCCTTGTTTGCTTTGCATTGGCACTTGTAGTTGAAGACTTCTATACTAATTTTATGACATTTGTTTTTACTATTGTGGATCTTTCTTTTGCTTGCTCCACATTAGAAAAATCTTTCGGTTTGATATATAGGTAAGTAACATAATTTAGTGTTTTAGGATCACATTTTAGCATGAGGTGAAGTCGAATGAGCATCACAAGATTAAGAGGCAACGATGCTTATTGGGAAACAACTTAGATCAATGAGTGCAAGAGTTTAATTTACTTAGAAGTCTTGATGGTGAAGAGGTTAAGCTTGAAGATATATTAGTGATGGGATAGTATGTAAGTAGTGATGATGTGATGGATGGGCAGCAGCCAAGGAATACTATACATAGCGTTTGCTTGCCATAAACTTAAATAGTTTGCTAATTTAAGTTATTTGAATATCACAATATATTCAGAAACACTATTTAAGTCGGACTGCTTAGAAGTTTGTTTTTCCCCATCATAATTTAGTGTGATGATTACAATTAGTATTATTTAAAAGTTTTACTAATTATTGAATACTGTATATTGATGCTATATCTTTTTAGCGCTTCACTTTGTGACAACCACAAGTCCGTTAACCGTGCCTGTTGATTTTGATAGCATTGGCAGTTTCTATGCTGTACTAGGATACTGATAGTTGCATTGTTTATGTAGTTTAGAGGATACTTTCATTCTTGTGGGGCCTTGTTGCTTACATATCCGTATGTTTTGAAATGGTTGGAAGATTTTCCTTGTTTTTATGGATGTAACATTTTGAATTTCATTGCTAATTCTTTTATTCTAAGAATTTCATTAACATGTCTTTTGATGTCCAATAAGGTATTTTCTCTTAGCTAATGGTTTTGTAAAATTAGTAATGTTAGCTTTAACTATTTATTTTGTGATACTTGGATATCATATTTATTCCCGTGAATGTATAAAACATAGGCTATAGGGGAAGTGTCTGTTAATGCATTCATTGTTACATACAACATCATAATTTCGTAGGTTTTCACTCTTAAGATGTTCAATTTTGGATGTTAGAAAAAGTTTATAAAATGATTAATCTAAGTTCTATATTGATTTTTGCTATATGTGCTTTACTTCTTTCACAGGTCCAATTCTTCTTGAGGATTACCATCTTATTGAAAAGCTTGCTCAGTTTGATAGGGAGCGCATTCCTGAGCGTGTTGTTCATGCGAGGGGAGCTAGTGCTAAGGGTTTCTTTGAAGTAACACATGATATTTCTCACCTTACTTGTGCTGACTTCCTTCGGGCACCGGGGGTACAGACTCCTGTTATTGTTCGCTTTTCAACTGTTATTCATGAAAGGGGGAGTCCTGAAACCCTAAGAGATCCACGAGGTTTTGCTGTCAAGTTTTATACAAGAGAGGTTGACTGTCCTTTTCTTTTCTTTTCTTTCTTTCAAACTGCCTTAACATTCTTACCTCTCTGTTGTGGATTTATTTTGTTGGGCCGGTTAGTTTTTGTGCATAAAGCAAGCCTTTGTACTGCTTTAGGGTTAACATGTTTAATCATTTGAAAACGAAGTCTTTATAAAATTAAAGCGGAGCAAGAATATATATGAAAACCTGAGTTAAATACTCCCGTAGTACTCTGATAATAAACAGAGAACAATGATTCTTGATTTCAGCACACCTACATTGATGTGACTTATGATTTTTGTTGTTGGGTTAAATAGGTTCCAATGAAGTTTTCTACACCATCTTTTGATAGGAATGATCGGAAACAATGTTCAGCTGTTACTAATTATCTATGACTTGACAGAGTTGCAATGTTTTTACGTTGTTTGAATTTTATCATGTTGCTTTTATTTTTCAATTCATCAGAAGTGATCTATTGATCCTTCTGTTTCACTAACACAAGTTGGTGACATAAAATTATAAGCAAAAGCACAACGTAAATACATATATGTTCGCAGCCTTATCTGCTGCTAAACATTTTGTTTTAGAAAATTTACATGCATACCATTCTATTCCTATGTATTTACATATCTACCTCCTAAACTTTAATTTTTACTTGCATGCCATGTTACGTTTGCATGAAAAGATTTATTTCACTTTTTGAAAGTTAGATTAATGATATTTTTGATGTGATATGAAAGATTTGGATTTTTTATATATATGTAATTGCCTCTTTGCTTTTTTGCCACTGAATTTGAACTTGTGCTTTAATTTGGCAGGGTAATTTTGATCTTGTGGGAAATAACTTTCCCGTCTTCTTCGTTCGAGATGGAATGAAGTTTCCGGATATGGTTCATGCTCTCAAACCAAACCCAAAGTCCCACATCCAGGAGAACTGGAGAATCCTCGACTTCTTCTCACACCACCCTGAGAGTTTGCACATGTTCACGTTCCTGTTTGATGATATCGGTATTCCACAGGACTATAGACACATGGATGGCTTCGGTGTCAACACCTACACTCTCATCAGCAAAGACGGGAAGCCGCATTATGTCAAATTTCACTGGAAACCAACATGTGGCGTGAAGTCTTTATTAGATGATGAAGCTGTGATTGTTGGAGGGAAAAATCATAGCCATGCAACCAAGGATCTGTACGATGCCATCTCATCTGGCAATTTTCCAGAATGGAAACTCTACATTCAGACTATTGATCTCGATCATGAGGGTCAGTTTGATTTTGATCCGCTCGATGTCACCAAAATATGGCCTGAAGACATCCTGCCTCTTCAGCCTGTGGGGCGCTTAGTCCTGAACAAGAACATCGACAATTTTTTTGCTGAGAATGAGCAACTTGCCTTCTGTCCAGCAATTATTGTGCCTGGAATTCATTACTCTGATGACAAGCTTTTGCAAACTAGAATTTTCTCGTATGCTGATACCCAAAGACACCGACTGGGACCTAATTATCTTATGCTCCCTGCAAATGCACCAAAGTGTGCTCATCACAACAATCATCATGATGGTTTCATGAATTTCCTGCACAGGGATGAGGAGGTATTTTTGCCACAAGTTATAAACATCTTATTTTCTCCCATGTTGTATTGTAGTTTATAGATTAAATATTTGTAATTTTCAGGTTAATTATTTCCCATCAAGGTATGATTCTTCTCGTCATGCTGAGAGTTTCCCGATACCGCCGAACCTTCTGCAGGGAAGACGTGAGAAGGTGAGCATCATTATAAAAATGGATGTAACTATGCTATCCAATAATGTTATTGCATAGCCTTTGTTTGCTCCATGCTGTAATTGCTAGCTATGTCTATGCTGCAGTTTCAGATGGAAATAATTTGTTTGCCTTTTGATTATGTTTGTTTTCCTTTTCTGTCGCTGTAGATTATCATTGAAAAGGAGAACAACTTCAAGCAGCCTGGAGAGAGATACAGGACCTGGGATGCTGACAGGTTCGTGCTTCCGAATCCAAAAGATTAAGTGTCTATCAAATGCTTCATATTTTCTATATCTAAGCTGCTCGCTGCTTTTCCAGGCAAGAGCGTTTCGTTCGCCGTTGGGTTGATGCACTTTCTGACCCTCGAGTTACCCATGAAATCCGCAGCATTTGGCTCTCATATTGGTCCCAGGTTAGAACTTTACTTTTGCTTTCTTTCTTTAGAAGGCGAGAATAATTTGACGTGGAGCCAATCCTGTCTTTTAGCTCAATTTCGGATCCTTCATATTTTGTCTAGTTCGTAATTAACTCGTGATCCTCAACCGGTTTTTTATTTCTAGTCTCTCATTCTATCTTATTATTTTGTGAACTTTTTATCTACAAACCGACTTCACCGGCTTGTTGCTCTTGTGCAGTCCGATAGATCTCTGGGCCAAAAATTGGCGACTCGTCTCAACGTAAAGCCGAGCATGTAAAGTGTTGCATGTGGTAAGTAGCAGGTTAATTTCAAGGTACGTTATTATATGGCCGAGAAGCATATGGTGGGGTTTAAGGATGAACAGAAATGTATCACTATTTAGAGAACATTCTCTTTGCTACTTTTTGTTCTGTTAACTGTTAAGCAGCATAATGTAATAATCAACATGTCTGCATGTCTCGCTTTTTGTGTTGTGAACTGTTATTTTACGTATGAGAATGTAATTCAGTTTTATGCTGTTTCTTTGAGAGTTGGCAATTTCTTACCGTGCTTTGCTTGATTTGAAGCTGTCGATGAACTATGCTTCTCTGCTTGAAAGCCTCATCAGCGCGTCAGATTGCATCTGGTATAAATGCTTTTGTTAAAAAATTTACGTACATACCACACAATTCTTATGTATTTACATATCTACCACCTGAATTTTGATATTTATACTTAAAATTGCTTGGTGTCCTAAACTTATGCATAAAAATGGCGCATTTCACTTCTAAGGATTATTTTTTTGATGTGATATTAAAGATTTAAAAGCTGTGCATCTAAAATATGAATCTTTGGGTGTTAGCAATCCAACTATATAAGAATTGTGTGGTATGCATGTAAATGGCTCGTATAGAACAAAATGAAAATTGAATTGATAGCATCACTTAAAATCAGCAAGGCGTTTGGGATAATTACATAAACAACACTCGAAATATTGATATTTATAGACTAATTTTTTGAACTATTGAATAGATGTATTTATGAGTGTCACCATCAAATTATTGAGAATTTGATAGAAATGAAAGATGTGTGTATAGAAATGAAAATTATGTGTGTGAATTGGAAATTTGGATGAAAGATGGTGGCTAATCTGTAAATAGTTAGTTTGGGATGGTTGCTATGTAATTGCCCTATTTTATTTATTTATTTGTTTATTTTTAACTTGAAGTAAAATATGTTTAATGCTATAGCATATTTCTATTTTAAGTGTTTTCTAAAATAAGATATTTTGTTTTTTAAAATAAAAGATAAAACATGCAAATAAATATATATTAAATAAAGATAATTTTAAAATAAAAGCAAATTTAAAAATAACAAATAAAATATAAAGTCCTAAACAAACCCTAAAAATTCATCCAAACAGGGAGTATCGTTGATGTAATGTCAGCAGTACCCATTTTTTAAAATAATAAAAAAAACATAAAAAAATTTGCTTATGAGAGTTTTTAATTTATCCATTTAATGATGTGAGTGAGTTTGTTTAGATATATATATATATAT